ATATATATGCACAATTTTACTTTTATTCTGTGCAGTTTATTGTCATTTTAAGAATAACTTGTTTTTTTTTTTGTTCTCATTGAATGTTTAATACCACTGAGAAACACATAATATTATGGAAGTGGTTTGAGCTATTTTTTTTGTCATTTTATTTAATCATTTAAGAAATGTTTATTATTAATTATTAGCTCCTCTGAATTATTAGCCCCCCTATTTATTTTTTCCCCAATTTCTGTTTAACAGAGAGTAGAAAACACATTTCTAAACATAATAGTTTTAACAACTCATCTCTAATAACTGATTTATTTTATCTATGCCATGATGACAGTACATAATATTTGACTAGATATTTTTCAAGACACTTAATGTCTAATTAACTAGGTTAATAAGGTTAACTAGGCAGGTTAGGGTAATTAGGCAAGTTATTGTATAACGATGGTTTGTTCTGTAGACTATCGGAAAGAAATAGCTTAAAGGGGTTAAAAATATTGACTTTAAAATGGTGTTAAAAAAATTAAAAACTGCTTTTATTCTAGCTGAAATAAAACAAATAAGACTTCTTCCAGCAGAAAAAATATGATCAGACTTACTGTGAAAATTTCCCTGCTCTGTTAAACATCATTATGAAATAATTAAAAAAGAGAAAAAAATTCAAAGGGGGGCTAATAATTCTGACTTGTTTATCTGGAAAACAATAATAAAGTCAGATATTCTCATTTCTGAATGTGCATTCGGTAATGTCTGTTTTTGTTTTGGTCTCTTTAACCAGCCCACTGCCAGTTTACGAATTCAATTTCTGGGTTACCTTGGCAGAAAATGCAGCGGTTGGGTTCTTCTAAATCATAAAAGTAGCATAAGATGTTCGCAGATATTTAAGAAACGTAAAGAACATACTTGTTTATCTAGAAAACAATAATGAAGTCAGATATTCTCATTTCAAAATGTGCATTTCATGTCGGAATGTCTGTTTTTGGTCTTTTTAACCAGCGCACTGTCATTATACGAAATCAATTTCTGCACCCACTCTGCTTTGACAGAAAACGCCACGCATTTCATTTCAGTCATGAAGGTTGCCTCGATGTATGCTAATACTGCTGAAAATGCGAGTAATTGTGGCCTTTGAAATGAGACACAAATTTAGATTTATAAAACTCTACATGAGGTGATTTTTTTTTTTAAGCAATTCAAATGCTACAAACATAATCATTAGCTGAGCAGTTTACAGTGTGAGGCTCGATCTTCAGGCATGCTCTCAAACTGTCAGTCTGTCTTCAATCTGGCAACCTGCGTCTGCATTTGGTTGGAGAAGGAGCTGAGGAACAAAAAACCCCTCTCCACTATTTTTAATTTGGGCCTATGCTGTAAAAAATCAGTAAATTTGATGTTTTCTATATTTTGTGATTCATGTTTTTATTTTTTCCTCTTTAACTTATGCTTTTGAATTGCATTATGGGACCTTGATTATTCTTCCAACATTATTTAACCTTAAAAAGTTATAGAATAAACAATATGAGCTGGCAGAATAAACATTGTGAATTTTGCTTTAACGCAGATTTTTAAAAATGCATTATTATTATTTTTTTCTGTTTCCAGGTTACAGAGGGACCAAACCTTCCTCAAACCCTGCTGAGAGAGCCAAAACAGCCATTACAAGTGTGAGCACATTCGAAATGAAGCTCGCAGATTTCCCAGAACTGGGTGATTTCACACCCAGCAGCCCTGCAGGAGCTTCTCTGCACCAGGAACCGTCAGTTTGTGCTGGTGCAGTGATGCCAGCAGAGCGTCAGACTTCACCAGCACCCCTTTATAAGGTAACTTTCAAGCCAAAGAACACATTGTTCTGGTAAACACAAGCTGTTTAATTTTGTGCAGGCTTCACGTTACAAAAAGCTCTTTGTGTGTATGGTAATACACAATAAATGCGCTATATACAGTTGAAGTCAGAATTAATTTAATTACTCATTTCTAATAACTGATTTACATAATGTTCATAATGTTTGACTAGATATTTTTCAAGATACTAGTATTCAGCTTAAGTGACATTTAAAGGCTTAACTAGGTAATTAGGCAAGCTAGGGTAATTAGCCAAGTCATTGTATAATGATGGTTCGATCTGTAGACGATCTGAAAAAAATACTGCTTAAAGGGGCTAATAATATTGACCTTAAAATGGCTTTAAAAAAATTTTAAAACTGCTTTTATTCTAGCCGAAATAAAACAAATAAGACATTCTCCGGAAGAAAAAATATTATCAGACATACTGTGAAAATTTCATTGTTCTGTTAAACTTAATTTGGGAAATATTTAAAGGAAAAGAAAAACAAATTCACAGAAGGGTGAATAATTTTGACTTCAACTGTAAATGCACATTACTTACTATTACTCCATGACATATTTTGACAATTGTTGTTTGTATCCAAATAAGAATGTACCAAAACGAAGAACCAAGTCAGCACAGCAAATCTCGTCCAGTGGAAAAAGTGTGGGAAAGTGTGACTCATCATCAGTTGACCCAGCAGGTGAAGATGTGCAAACACGCCTTTTCAAAATCACATTTTACCCAGCTGATATTCTTAATCCACATAATGCAATCAAAACCTGTATGCTGTTTTGGCAACAATCAGAACTGAAGGGTCATTGTTTTATAAAACAGACATGACCTATTATTTTTTTAATCAAAACATGTTTATCTGATCCGAAACTTTGCATTAATCAGCGAATGGGTATTACTGCGTTTACCCATAACTGTATTATGGTAACAAATATATAGGAATTCTTTTAAGTTTCTAATTACAGATGAACTACCCCAAAAAAACTTAATTTCTATGAATTAAAAATCAACTGAAATAGTAATTTTTTGAAATAGAACCATTTTTATGGAGTATATGTTTATTGGAAAAAGGGTGTGAAATATGGAAAAAAATATTTATTTAATTTGTTATTTGTTGGCTTTATTTCTGTTTCTTTTTATAATTTTATTTATTTTTATATTTTTGTGTATTTGAACAGTATATGTGTGTATAATAAATTATAAATAATGTAATAGAATTCCTTAACCAATACTTTACGTGTATTTATTTATTTATTTATTTACTTATTAGTGTTTATTTTTATGTTTGTTTAATGTTTTAATTATTTATTATTTTATTTGTTTTTATTTATTTTTTAATATATAAATACATTAAATTAATAAAATACATTAACCAATACTTAAAACTTATTTATTTGTTTTTATTTCTGTTTGTTTATTATTTTAATTATATTAAATATTTTAATAATAGTATTTAGATTTTTATCATATATATATATATATATATATATATATATATATATATATATATATATATATATATATATATATATATATATATATAAATTTTTTTTCGTAGTTAATGACTTAAATACATTAACCAATCGGCAAAAAATATTTATTAATTTATTTGAGGTTATTGTATTTTAATTATTTATTATTTTGTTTATGTTTATTCCAGTTAATGACTAAAATACATTAACCAATACTAAAAACTTTAATTTATTTGTGTTTATTTCTGTGTTTGTTTATTATTTTATTTTTTAATGTTTTATTTATTTTTATTGTAGTTAATGACTAAACATTAACCAGTGCTTAAAACTTATATTTATTTATTTATTTATTTGTGTTTATCTGTTTGTTTATTATTTAAATTAGTTATTATTTTGTTTTGTATTTAAAAAAAATATTTTTTATTGTGGTTAATGACAAAAACACAATAACCAATACTTAAAACTTATATTTATTTATTAATTTGTGTTTGTTTAATATTTAAATTGTTTATTTTTATTTTTCATTGTAGTTAATGCCTAAAATACATTAAGCAATACTTTATTTGTGTTTATTTCTGTTTGTTTATTATTTTAGTTATGTATTATTTTATAAATTTTTTATTAAATTTATTTTTATTGTAGTTAATAACGAAAATACAATAACCAATACTTAAAACTTATATTTATTTATTTGTGTTTATTTCTGTGTTTGTTTATTATTTAAATTAAAATTTAAATAAAATCCTATTTTTAATTTATAATTTGTTTTTATTTTAAATAAATTATATTTATATTAATATATTAAATATATATACACACAATTTTACTTTTATTCTGTGCAGTTTATTGTCATCTTAAGAATAACTTGTTTTTTTTTTTGTTCTCATTGAATGTTTAATACCACTGAGAAACACATAATATTATGGAAGTGGTTTGAGCTATTTTTTTTTATCAAATTCTTTTGTTTAAAAATCAATGTGAGTAAAGTTAAAAGTATCATATGCTTTTAAAACTCAATTTAGGTTTAGATCAGGATCCAGCAGTATCCAATCCCAGCGGGTCTTCAGCTCAATCCTGGGCAAACATCGCCTCTCAGCCTCCCAGAGTCATCCAGAAAATCTTCAAAGCCAACACATCTTCTCAGGTAAACAACTGCAGTGGACTCCAGCTTTTTTTTTTTGAGCACGCGCCATACAAAATAGACATCATCACAGTTGTTTTACTTTGTCTAGGAGGATTTATCTGCACAGACAGGAGAGCAGAAAACAGATAAGAAAAAGAGGAAAAGAAAGAAGAAATCCAAGACTGCATCTGACAACACAGAAGAGACACAGGAGGAACATCTCATTCAGCAAGAGCCTCCAAAGTTCGAGGTTGAATATATATATATATATATATATATATACACACACACACACACACACACACACACACACACACACACACACACCAGGGATGAGCAAACTTGATCCTCAAGGGCCGGAAATTTTCACAGAATGTCTGATAAAATTTTTTCTTCTGGAGAAAGTCTTATTTGTTTTATTTCGGCTAGAATAAAAGCATTTATTAATTTTTTAAAAACTATTTTTGGGACAAAATTATTAGCCCCTTTAAGCAAATTTTTTTATCGATAATCTACAGAACAAACCATCGTTATACAATAACTTGCCTAATTACCCTAACCTGCCTATTTATCCTTATTAACCTAGTTAAGCCTTTAAATGTCACTTTAAGCTGCATAGAAGTGTCTTGAAATATCAAGTAAAATATTATTTAATGTCATCCTGGCAAAGATAAAATAAATCAGTTTTTAGAAATAAGTTTTTAAAAATATTATGCTTAGAAATGTGTTGAAACAATCTTCCCTCCATTAAACAGAAATTGGGAAAAAAAATAAACAGGGGCACTAATAATTCAGGGGGGCTAATAATTCTGACTTCAACATATAAACATTTTTTATTGGCTTATTGCTTTTTCTCTTTTTTTTGTCTTACATTTTTATCGTTAGATTAAATGAACTATTAATGATTATATTTATCATCTGAGTGTTGTTTTTGCAGGATGAAGAGGAGTTTCCAGATCTTTCACTTGCATTTGTAAGTTAATTCTTTTGTTCTGGGCAAATCCTGATGACCCTTAATTCACATAAAAAAATCAAAATATTCACTTCTTTAATGTACCAACTGTTATTATTTTGATTCAGGAAGTCAAAGGACATTCGATGTCTCAAAAAGAAGGATCGTCTCTACATTCGGAGATGAAACACAAAGCCACTAAACCCTCTTCTGCCTCAACGGACACTAAGAAAACACAGGTTGGTGAATGTTTCCAGCACAGTGTTTAAACTCTATCAATACACTTCATATATTATGTAAACACTTGTGAACACTTAAAGGGATAGTTCACCCAAAAGTGTAAAAATCTGTCATCATTTACCTCACTCTCCACTTTCTGTTTGAGTTTTTCCTATTGAACACAAGGGGAAATATTCTAGAGAATGCTGAAAAAAAATTTGAAGGTATTATTTTGGTTCCTACTATGGATGCCTGACAATGCCTGCTTTTTTTTCTTTTCAGAACATCTTGTGTTGTGTTCAACAGAAGAATGAAATTTATGAACGTTTAGAACTAATTGTGTGTGTGTAAATGGTGAGGAAATGATCATTCATGGATGAACCGTCTCTTTTAATGTCTTGAGTAAAATTAAAATTTACATTGTTGATTTTGCTGGCACATATTGGTATTCTTAAAGTAAATAATAATTCTGCCTAAGTTAATCCACTGAAAAAAAAAACAGTTTTGGCCTTAAAATCTGACCGATTTCTTCTGCTTTTGTAGTGTCTGTCCTTGTTGAAGTCAACTTGTTGGTTTCCATAGCAACTGTATATCATTAACCTTATCCACACCTCTCTTACTGAAACAAAGTTTACTGAAACAACATACTGAAATGAAGGGTGTCACAGTGGTGCAGTGGGTAGCACGATCGCCTCAAAGCAAGAAGGTCGTTTATTCGAGCCCCTGTGTTAGTTGGCATTTCTGTGTGGAGTTTGCATGTTCTCCCCGTGTTCGTGTGGGTTTCCTCTGGGTGCTCCAGCTTCCCCCACTGTCCAAAGACAAGCAGTATAGGTGAATTGGGTAAGATAAATTGGCCGTAGTGTATGAGTGTGGATGCAAGAGTGTAGGTGTTTCCCAGTGTTGGGTTGCAGCTGGAAGGGCTTCCGCTGCGTAAAGCATTTGCTGGATAAGTTGGCGGTTCATTCCGCTGTGGCGACTCCTGAATAATAAAGGGACTAAGCTGAAAAGAAAATGAATGAATGAATACTGAAAAAAAAGGCCCAATCCCAAATCTTTTTTTTTTTTTTTAACACCATACCTTCTCCTCCCCCTTGGCCCTTGAAACCTGTAGTAGTGGGGTGTCGTGGATGAAAGTGAAGAGGGTTGGGGAGTTGAGATGGGGGAGGTGGACGGATGAGGAGGGGGGATTGGTAAAATGAGGTGCCGGATCAGATTTCAGAGGGGCCTAATCCGGATTCAGGGTATTCTAGCACAAATCAAGCCCTGATCTTAACAATATAATGTGGCAGTAAGACCATAACTGTTCTGTGTATTTAAACCATGGCCACATTCATCTGTGTAAACACACGAAAACTACAATGCAAACAAAACAACACTAAAATCCATAGAGTCACTTTACAAACAGACAATTAAAATACTGGATAACAAGCCTCTAAGACATCATCATTGTAGCATTTTACAAAAACATAAATTGTTGAGCTGGGAAAATGTCATTAAGTACTCAAACATTTGCCTGTTGTATAAAATCATTCATGGTCTGTCATCCCCACCTCTCAGTCAGTTTGTAAACATCAGGAACAGCACACACAGAGCAACACGAGGGGCAGCCCGAGGAGACTGTATTGTCCCACTCCGGAAAGGTACATTTGGTCAGGGTGCTTTTTCAGTTACAGCTGCACAGGAGTGAAATTCTGTCCCTGGCAGCATCAGAGATATAACCTCCTTTAATATATTCAAAAAACATTTAAAAATCTGGTTTATAGAGAATCAGACGTGTCATCATTCCGATTAGATTGAAACTAGCATGTCAGTCAGTCTGTCAGTCTTTATTCATTTCCCCAGGGCAATTTGGTTTCAGCATACAAGCATGTCACACATAATACACAAAAGTACATCATACAATACAAATTCTACCCTAAATTTAAAACTTTACAGCTGTGGGGATGAATGAAAGTTTAAAACGATTTGTTTGACTAATAGGAGTTCTGTATCGAATACCAGAAGGGAGAATATAAAACTCGTGGTGCATAGGATGGGAATCATCTGACAGAATACTCTCAGCTTTACTCAAAACTTGTCTGTGGTATAAATGAGCCATGGGCATCTGTTTTTTCCGTTATTTTTCCTCCTAGGTTCACAATTTTCTTCGAACAACTCTTATTTTTCACACTTAGAGAATTGAACCAACAAAGCAAAGAAAAGGATAACGGTGATTGAATGTATGAACTGTAAAACATGCACATGAGTGATTTATCTATACCAAAAGATCTCAATTTCTGTAAACAGTATAATCTTTGTTGCCCCTTCTTACACAACGTATTAGTATTAGCAGAAAAAGACGATATGTTAAAACAGTTCCCAGACACCTATACTGTTTAACACTCTCAACATCCACTCCATTAATACAAGTTTTCTTATCCTCAATCTGTCTCCTCTTACAATTAAAATCAATGGTCATCTCTTTCGTCTTAAGAACATTCACTTGTAAGAAAGCCTCCTGACACCAGCTGGAAAAATAATAAATTACAGGACCGTGCATGGAGTCTTCCACGCAAATGTTTCCATTTTGTGCCTACCATCTTAATGATCTGTTGTTTAAATGCGTTTCAACTATTTTGATCTCTTTTACAAAATGTCGGTGTTTTAGTTTAATTTGTAAATATTCTTTTTTTAACATCTATATAACCATGTCTATTTTAGTACTTTTTAACTATGTTTGATTGATTGTATAATTATGTTGGCTTGAGAAAGCCAACATACTGTAATGCTACTTAAACTTATTCTTATTATTATTATTATTATTATTATTCTTATTATTATTCCGGCTTCTGACCTAAAAAAAGCAATCGCTTCTCCTCCCAGGACTTAGATGCTACAAGCCCCAAATTTGGTCAAAAGCTGTCTTTTGCTCAGGAGATGGTTGCTGTATGTCCTCATGCCGATAAGATTTGTAGTTTTTGAATTAAAAAATTTTTTATTAAAAAATTGTATCGAGTATTTGGGGCATATAAAAAAGTATACAATCCTCAAATTTGGCCAAAAGATGTGTTTGAAATTACTGATAATTGTCATATTTATTTGGTGTAATTATAAATAACAGTTTTCCTATAAATATTTTTTTTATATTAAATTTGTAAAATTCAGACTCAAAGTGTGTCAGAGTGTCCACGAGATGGCGCCAGAAGACTATTTTTGAGCCCTTTGTAAATTAGTAATGGCCCTTTAAAAGGCGGGGATATCCGTGCTGATCTGGATGCAGAATCTTCCGCGTCGGAATCGACCCGCATGCATTTCTGTCTGCTACCCTGTGAGTTTTAAAATGCATGCCTCTGATGTTGGCAGAAACATAACTTTACTTCAGATATTTCTTTCAAAACAGAATATTCTGTGCCGTGAAAAAGCCTTCTCCTCTACTTGTGATAATGAAAATGAAAGCCAAGGAACATTCACGTATATTATACAATAAACACATTTAATATAAAATCATTCTAACTTTATTTTTAATCTGTATTTTAACCCTCTAAAAACAGCTATGTCCTTGCCACAAAACTAATAATCCATCTTCAAAACCTACAATTTCTTTCCATTCGGTCCGGTCGGACCTGAACGTCTTTATACCGTTGTAATCACGTGTAAATTCTAACAAAGACAATGTTTGCACTTTTTAAATCACATTTTATTTATTGTGCAAAAACAGTATTATAATGTTTTAAAGCAAAAATGTTAACAACAATTATTTACAAACAGTGAAAATAAAGTGTGTGTATATATATTATACAGTTGAAGTCAGAATTATTAGCTCCCCTGTTTATTTTTTCCCCAATTTCTGTTTAATGGAGGGAAGATTGTTTCAGCACATTTCTAAGCATAATAGTTTTAATAACTCATTTCTAATAACTTCTTTATTTTATCTTTGCCATGATGACAGTAAATAATATTTGACTTGATATTTTTCAAGACACTTCTATACAGCTTAAAGTGACATTTAAAGGCTTAACTAGGTTAATAAGGTGAACTAGGCAGGTTAGGGTAATTAGGCAAGTTATTGTATAACGATGGTTTGTTCTGTAGACTATCAAAAAAAAATTGCTTAAAGGGGCAAATTATTGTGTCCCAAAAATAGTTTTTAAATAATTAATAACTGCTTTTATTCTAGCCGAAATAAAACAAATAAGACTTTCTCAAGAAGAAAAATATTATCAGACATACAGTGAAAATTTCCTTGCTCTGTTAAACATAATTTGGGAAATATTTAAAAAAGGGAAAAAAAATCAAAAGGGGGTTAATAATTCTGACTTCAACTGTATATATGTATGTATATATACATACATATATACATATATAACACATACACACATTTATGGTTAGGGTTATAAGGATTATTTCTTAATCCCCCTTTTATGTTAGCAAAAACATAAGTTTACTTCAGATATTTCTTTCAAAACAATATTCTGTGCCGCAAAAGAGCCTTCTCCTCACTTGTGATAATGACAATGAAAGCCAAGCTTTTGGTCTATGCTGTACCAAAAAAAAAAAAAAAAAATCACCCAGGTGATGACAACTAAATATTACGATTATAACATTGTGTTAGTGGCCAGTGGGGTGGAACAACGTCATTGGTCTGAATTAACCACGTGATGAAGACGTCCTATAATATTGTATTTAATGCGATTTTCTTCCTGTAAACTGTATATAACTATATAACTATAACTATATATATAATGCTGCAAATTACTGTAAATTGACTGTACTCTATATTAACTGCAAAAATTATAAGACTGATTAAATAAAAGACAAATTAACTAAATGCATGTGCTATTGTTTCATTAGTATTTTAATGTAATATTTTTCTTCATATGATATTTATTATAATGTAATTTTGTTCAGATTATAATATATACTATAAATACTAACTATACTATAGTGATCTGCATTAAACAACCTGAACAAATCAGTCCTCTCTCTCTCTCTCTCTCTCTCTCTCTCTCTCTCGATTTGATCAAAAATGTAAATGAGGCCTTCCGATTAACAGTCCAGTGGACCCTAGCAACAGCCTAGAAACCACTCAGAACACCATAGCAACTACCTAGGAATGCCTTAGCTACACCTTAGCAACCGCCTAGCAACCACTTATCAACCGCTGTGCTTGCTGCCAACTGCCTTTGAGTCCCCGGCGCAGTCACGTTGGCTTTCTCAAGCCAACATCAAAGTTCGTCAACGAACTTTAGGTTCTAGTTCTTGTATTGTTGTTCAGGGACAACAGATGAAAAATAGCCTTCGGGCTAATTCTGGTGCATTGGCAGAAATGCTAATTAATGTACACCAGCAGTCACCAACCCTGTTCCTGGAGAGCTACCTTCCTGCACATTTCAGTTGCAACCCTGACCAAACACACCTGTTTGTAATTATCAAGTGCTGCTTTATTTACTATTAATTAGTTCAGGTGTGTTTGATCAGGGTTGGGACTGAATTCTGCTGGAAGGCAGCTCTCCAGGAACAGGGTTGGTGACCCCTGATGTACACTGTCCCTGCCAAATAAACAAATAAATAAAAAAATTAACATTATAGCAGACACTGTAAAAAGCTCATTCCCAGCCACTAAACTTTTCTGACAGGGTATTCGAGTGTCAGAATGTTGTGGGACTGCTGTACAGGAGTTATGATTATGGATTATAAATGGCAGAATTTAGCGGTTTTTATTTCAGCGTTTTTTTTTTAAAGCATGACAGTTATGAATATATTAAAATGTGCTTGTTTGTTGAAAAGATTTGTAATAATGACAAAACTTACAAATATGTGTATCTCCTTACTTCCGTGTGCAGCCATGCTGTCCCTGTACATGGTATATTCTGGGAATTTTTCGTACTCCTTGGTTTCGAGTGTGGTCCTGAAAAATCTCTCTTTCGAGGGCCCTTCCTTTTAGCCCTTCCTCCAAGCCAGGGGGGGCCAATCCTGTTCCTGGAGATCTACCTTCCTGCAGATTTCAGTTGCAACCCTTATCAAACACCTGTCTGTAATTATCAAGTGGATTTCAGGTCCTAATTAATTGGTTCAGGTGGGTTTGATCAGAGGAGGAGCTAAACTGTACAGGAAGGTAGATCTCCAGGAACAGGATTGAGCACCCCTGCTCTAAGTCCTACGTCTTCAAGCTAAAGACAATTAGGAGACCCCTACCCCTTCACGTGAACACGCAAGAAAGGCTAAGGGGTAGAATTGGGATTGGGCCAAAGTATCTATAACTTCTGGTTCATTCAGACTTTAAAGGGTACCTGTGATGCAAAATCAACTTTTGGAAGCTGTTTGGACAAAACTGTGTATAATAGTGTGCACAGTCATATTGGAGTGATATAAACAGGACAAGTCTCTTTTAAAAATAATTCCTGACGTTAAAAAAGGATCCAAATGCTAGTGAATTTGAGGCCCACTGCAGCATGATGTAGAAGTGTGGTTGTCCCCGCCCACCGAATAGATTGACGAGTGTATTGACATGTCTGCATAATAATGCGTATAAACATGTCCATGGAACAGGATTTGCAAAGAAACTGGAACTTAAAGATCAATTCAGCTCTCTGTGATCAGCTGCACCTCAACAAGTTGAGTTTAAATGGTTTTTTAAACAGCATGTTTGTAATAAAGACGGTAGAATTCACTATGTAATTCATTAGTGCTAGAATGACTACAGCTGCATAGTGTCAGTGAACTTTGTATGTGACTCTTCGTTGCAGAAAGGCTTGAATAAACTCCACCACAAATACGTCAAACTAAATGAGTCCCAATTAATTCTTATCTCAGCAGACGAGTCAGAAGAAGTCAAAAGTTCCAGTACAGCTCGACCTGGGAAACATGCTGGCGTTTCTTGAGCAGAAGCAACAGTCGCAGAAATCCAAACAAGACCAGCGACCGGTAACACTGACAGGTAATTGACTGAGCAGTTAATGTGCATACATTCTCCTTTCTGATTGAGTTAATCAAATAAATTAAGACGATATAGACAACTATGATGTTAGTTACCACTTTTGGAGATGTTAGATTTTTACAATTAGTCATTTAGCAGATGCTTTTGTCCAAGGTGACTTACAGTTGAGGAGCCATTCAGCGATTCAGCAAGAAGAGGCAATACACACAAGAAGTGCTAATTATACGAAGGAACAGTTAGTGCTCAGGGAATTTAGTGCCAGAGCAAGACATTTTTCACAGTGTTTTTCTGTGATATTTTTTCTTCTGGAGAAAAGTCTTATTTGTTTTACTTCAGCTAGAATAAAAGTAGTTTTTATTTTTTTTTAAAAACCATTTTAAGCTCAATATTATTAGCCTCCTTAAGCAATGTTATTTTTTGGATTGTCTACAGAACAAATCCTCGTTTTACAATCATTTGCCTAATTTTTTTGTACAATATATTTATTACTGTTTTTTAATATCACAACAAATTACACAATTACAGAATAATAATCATGCAGACACAGCAAACTTTTTACACCCTGTCCTCCCTCCCATCAACCCATTCCCTTAAAAAATAAATAAACGAGAAAAAATAAATAAATAAAAGAGAAAAAAATAAACAAATGAGAAAAAATAAAAAAATAAATGAGAAAAAACAAAAATAAATAAATAAATAAATAAATGAGAAAAAATGAATAAATAAAAGAGAAAAAATAAAAATAAATAAATAAACGAGAAAAAAATAATAATATTAAATGAGAAAAAAAGTATATGTTTAAATAAGGTAAAGATTGTTTCCTGAGTCTATGTTTAGACCAGGGGTCACCAATCTCGGTCCTGGAGGGCCGGTGTCCCTGCAGGGTTTAGCTCCAACTTGCCTCAACACACCTGCCTAAATGTTTCAAGTATACCTAGTAAGACCTTGATTAGCGTGTTCAGGTGTGTTTGATTAGGGTTTGAGCTAAAATCTGCGGGACACCGGCCCTCCAGGAACAAGTTTGGTGACCCCTGGTTTAGACCATGATACTTCCCTACTCCCTCTAAGCTTGTTCTTGTTGTAGCAGACTGTCAACATTTACATTGTACTTCAGGAAGTTATTAAAAGGTCTCCAGATATCTTCAAACACATTGTGTGTTTCTTTTTGACAATGTATGTGATCTTTTCCATTGACATTATGTGACACCATTTCTTTAATCCACCTTCCTATTCTAGGTTCATTTATATTTTTTTCAATTAAGAGCAACAATAATACTTTTAACTTGTAAAATACACGTCTATGAATCTGACCTCTTTGCTTTGTAAGAGAGGGCTGACAGGATATATACCCAGGATAAAAGTCTTAGGATCTAAAGGTAATTTCTTTGATAAAATTTGAAAATTATTTCAATTACACCTTGCCAAAAGGGTTTCCATATACAGTGGTAAAGTGTACCTCTTACCTCATTACACTTTATACAGGTATCTGGAATGTTATCACGTCAAGCTTGTGCAATATAGCAGTTATGTATGTTCGCATTAACCATTTGTACTGTATGAGTTTCAGGCTACTAATGATTTGCCTAATTACCATAACCTGCCTAAATAACCTAGTTAAGCCTTTAAATGTCACTTCAAGCTGAATACTAGTATCTTGAAAAATACCTACTAAAATATTATGCGCTGTCATTAAGGCAAAGATAAAATAAATCCGTTATTAGGAGCTATTTTGTTTAGAAATGTGTTGGAAAAATCTTCTTTCTGTTAAACAGAAATTGGGGAAAAGAAAATATACGGGGGGACGAATGATTCAGGAGGGCTAATAATTCTAACTTCAACTGTAAATCAAGTGCTATTCTGTGTTTTAGTTGGAGGAGCTCTGCCTGTCGTCCACAAAGAGCCTTCAGTCCAGAAGAAGCAGTGGCAGCAGGAGAAGACCCCGCACAACCCGCTGGACTCCACCTGTCCTTCAGTGAAGAAAGGAAAACAGAGAGAAGTCCCTAAAGCCAAAAAACCAACACCACTCAAACGAGTAAGTCCATTCTTCATTTAACCCTCCTGTTGTCTTAAAATTCTGTATACACCATTCGCCCTTCAGTCAAGAATGACCCGTCTTCACTAAACATTTACATTTAGTCATTTAGCAGACGCTTTTATCCAAAGCGACTTACAAATGAGGTCAAGGAAGCAATTTACACAACTAGTGCTGTAGGCAAGTTTCAGATGTGTAAAGTAGAGGTGTGAACCTATACTGGTCTCATGGTTCGGTTCAGTTACGATTATCATGCTTTCGGTTCAATTCGATATCTCGGTGCATCACGGTGCATTGACGATGCTTTCTATTTACAGTGTTATATTTTAGGGGGGAGGCTATAACAAGCTATCTGTATAAACACACAGACACACAGCACCACACTGTCTCTCATTCAAACACATTCACAAACATAGACAGCAGCAAACAAATAAACAAACACACACACACACACACACACACACTTAAGCCCTCGCTACAGGGAGAGCTCGCGCTGAGCGGAGCAGAAAAAAAAAAAAAAAAGAAGCACTTTTCCGACGGTCCCTTACTGAGAGCTCCTCTCAGCACGAGCTCTCCCGGCTAAACACATATCGCGAGGGCTCAAACGGAGCATTGCTCATAATGTCGAGCGAAAAAAAAAAGACAGCTGTGAAACATAACCAGCTTTGTCTTTTTGTAGCAAACACACTTTAGATCTTTTTAGGGTAAGAGGTTTTTGAGTTATTGCCGTCTATAACTGAATGTGTGTCAGGAATATCGAAAACAAAACTAACTGAAGCGCGCTCATTTCTGGTGCCCCTCTGGATATACAGCGCCCTTAGCATTTGCCTATGGTGCCTATGCCACGGGCCGGCCCTGAGTTGGCTGAGTGTTGTAAATACTCGCGCTCACCTCCCTCGCAACAGAGCGCATAGAAGATAAATGACGGCAGTACATAATAACCGATTATGATTATTACTGAACCGATACCGAATTGTCCGCATCTGCATCGCGGTGCACCGAAGAAACAATTAATTTTGACACCCCTATTGTAAAGTGTAAGTTTTTTTTTTTTTTTTTTTTTTTCTTATTTTTTAGTACAGTTAGCGGTGGAGCCAGAGAGGCAATTGCAGATTAGGAAGGGAAGTGGAGACTAAATAGTTGAGTTTTTATTCGTTTCTTGAGTTATCTGCCGTTCTGGTGCAGTTAGGGAGTTCATTCCACCAACTGGGCAGATTGAATGCGAGAGTTTGGGAAAGTGATTTCTTCCCTCTTTGGGATGGAACCACGAGGCGACGTTCATTCACAGAACGCAAATTTCTGGAGGGCACATAAATCTGCAGAAGTGAGAGCAGATAAGAAGGAGCAAAGCCAGAGGTCGCTTTGTAAGCAAACATCAGCGCTTTGAATTAAAATAAAGCAGCTAAATTTAATTTAAATCCTCAAATCTATTTTGCATGAAGAAACAGCCTCATCTTAAACACAAACACTGTGAATGTCTAGGTTCCCCCTCATCAGTGTGCAGTATTTCATCTGTGTTTAATCAGACACTCATTTTTGACTAAAGTAAAGGCTATATAAGTACATGCATAAGTGTAAAATTATTTTAGTAAGATGGTATTCATAAAAATTAAACTAGCAGATTCTTATTGTGTGTATGTGTTAGTGTGCTTGTAGTCTTTGTGGTGTAAAAATGAACAAAATTGACAACAGTTGTACCCTAAATGTGTACAACCCTCATGAAAATATTAATTCATTCAACTATTCCGGCAAATGTTTTACTCAGTGGATGCCCTTCCAGCTGCAACCCAGTACTGGGAAACACCAATACACTCACATTTACACACAAACACTCCTACACTGCGGCCAATTTGCTGTATTTTAGTTCACCTATAGCGCATGTCCTTGGATAGTGGGGGAAACCAGAGCACCCGGAGGAAACCCACGCCAACACGGGGAATACATGAACACTCCACAAACTCCACGCCCAGCCGGGACTCGAACCAGCAACCTTCTTGCTTCGATGTGACAGTGCTAACCATTGAGCCACCGTGCCGCCCTCTCATGAAGATATGAACATAGAAATTATCAAATAAAATTCTAATGCTGGGGTCACTTTAGATTAAGTCAAACATCCCCCAAAAAACATTGTTTAGTTTATTTTTTCCCCATCTTAAAATGGTCATTTTGACCCTTAAGTCAACAGAAGAATTAAAGTTCCTTGGAAAGAAAAAAAAGCTTTTTTTTTTGGTTTATTTATTTATTTATTTTAGACTAGATTAAAGATTTCTAATGCCATCAAACAGAACTAAAATGTCATTTATGTCTTTTGAATATTCTGTTAGTAATGAAATAACACACTCAAGTGTGTTTTTGATCTGCTTTGTAATGTATTTTTCAATCTGAACATTTGAGGTGATTCTCCGGGAACGAGAGGAGAGGAAACAGAACCGGCTGCTTGAGGAAAGAGACCCGTCCCGTGTGGCCACAGAAGCGGGAGAAAAGGAGACCAGTGAAAACCCTTCTGAAGCGAGTCTGCCTGAGCAAGAACATCTTGAGTCAAGTATGAAACGCACCACTGCAGTGTCTTTACATGAACCATCAATGCGGAGGCTGCTTAGGATGCAGTTGAAGTCAGAATTATTAGCTCTCCTAAATTATTAGACCCCCTGTATATTTTCCCCCAATTTCTGTTTAACGGAGAGAAGATTTTGTTCAACACATTTCTAAACATAATAGTTTTAATAACTCATTTCTGATAATTGATTTCTTTTATCTTTGTCATGATGACAGCACATAATATTTGACTAGATATTTTTCAAAATACTAGTATTCAGCTTAAAGTGACATTTAAAGGCTTAATTAAGACAGTTAGTGTATAATGATGGTTTGTTCTTCAGACAATGAAAAAAAAATTGCTTAAGGGGGCTAATAATATTGACCATAAAATGTTTTTTAAAAATGAAAAACTGCTTTTATTCCATCCGAAGTAAAACAAAACAGACTTTCTCCAGAAGAAAAAACATTGTAGGAAATACTGTGTAAAATTCCTTGCTCTGTTAAACATCATTTGGGAAATATTTAAAAAAGAAAAACAGTCACAGGAGGGCTTATAATTCTGACTTTAACTGTATGTTATATTGTATTATTGTCTTTCTTGGACACGTCAGTGATTTTTGAAATGCATGGACAGCAAGGCCCAATCCCAATTCTATTTTTGTACCCCCACCCTGAAGCCGCCTTTTCACTGCACACGACAAACGAGAAGCGACAGACCGGAAGTCATTCATTTCCAATGGAGAGCAGTCCGGGAGCTGCGTTGAGTTCCGATCATCTCTGTATGTGGAAAATTCGGATCCGAATTGAGCTGCGGATCCGTTGAAATATTTGAACTCCTGCGACTAGACCGTATGCGAACTGCCGACCGGATATGATGGATTCCAGTTTTGTCCAAGCAGATCCGTGTGCGCGAGATGAGAAATAGGAGTTTATTTGGTTTTTTTTTTAATCTAAAAAGTCTATATTAAAAAAAAAACTTTCTGTTCATAAATGTAAGTAAGAAAGTAATAAAAATATATATTTTAATGTTGTCTCCACATTCCCTCCAATATTTTAGCGGTCTATGAGTTTCTAGTATTCATTCATTCATTAAACCATGTAAACGCACATAGAATAAAGGCTCTTGCTTTTGCACTCCTTTAATTCGGACATCGTGTCAATCAGTTTCTCCCTAACGGTGCACGACAACACTGAAAAATACTGTGCGGCTGCCACAAGGGGGCGTATTCCTACAGTCGTGTTTAAATGTTGTGTGCAGTGGAAAGGCGGCTTGAGGGTGAAGGGCTTCAAAATGTACCCCTAAGAATTGGGACAGCACTACAGCACCTGCACACGTCATCATATATCATCATGATCTCTTGCTTCATGTGAGAGCAGACGATCGCGACTGCTGTAGTTATTCCAGTTGTGCTATTTTTTTGGTATTTATCTTCAGGAAATGACTGAAGGCATATAGTATGTTATCAATGATCTAATGTGGCAATAAGATTGTAACTGTACTGGGTATTTACACAGTGGCCATATTCATCTATGTAAACGCACCAAAAACAGCATTAACATTATAGCAGACACTGTAAAAAGCCACTAGACTTTTCTGACAGGGTATTCGAGTGTCATCGGGTGACAGAATGTTGTGGGATTGCTGTACAGGAGTTATGATTATGGATTATAGGTTGCGAATTTTATTTTTATTTTTTATTTTAGAGCTTTTTTTTTTTTTTTAGAATTTTAGCGCTTTTTTTTTTAAAGCATGACGGTAAAACACGAACGCGGTTATGAATATATTAAAACATGTGCTTGTTTGTTTGTTTGTAAAAATTCATAATAATGACAAAAAAATACTAATTTGTGGAACTCCTTACTTCCGGGTTCAGCAATACTGCCGTTGTGGCTGGTGTATTCTGGGAAATGTTCTTACCCCTTGGTTTCGAGTGTTGTCCTGAAAAATCTTTGTTCGCAGGGGTATTTACCCTTTGCCCTTAGCCCTACGCCTTTAAGCTAAAGAGAATTGCGACAACCCTAAATGGTGAAATTGACCTGTTTTAGATGCTGATGACAATGCTGAAGACATTGGTGTTAAGGATTCAGAGATTGAGCAGCCTGCTTCACCTTCTGATGACAAGTTGGACGACGGCTTGTCAGAGAATCCAACACTACAAACCGAGATTCCCAATTCCAATCCCATTTCCAAAGTTCCCAAAATTCACAGCAGGAAGTTCAGAGAGTAAGAAAATCTGTTTTTAAAATGTATGCTGCCTTTGTTTATTTTTTTATAATAATAATATTATTATTATTATTTTTTTGTTTTTTTTTGTTTTACCATTTAGTTTTTTTCTTGTTTTTTATTTTTGTAGCTATTTGATTTAGTTTTTTGTTTCTTTTTTTGCTTTGCATTTTTTTCTTTGTTTTGTTTTACATTTACTTTTGTTTTGTTTTCTTTGTTTTAAGTTTGTTTAGATTTTTTTTTCTTTTGTTTTAGTTTTTTAACTTTTGTTGGTGTGTATTTATTATTTGGTTATTTTTGTTTTTTGTCTGTGGGTTGTCATTAGCTGTGTTTCCATCCAAAGATGCGAATTAAATGTATGCAGAAAACTGGAATATCACACCAGCTTTGTTGTTTTTTAGTTTGGGTTTTATTGCTTTGATTGTTTTACTAATGCATTTTAGTTTAGCTTTTTTCAATTCAATATTTATTCAAGTTTTGTTTTTTATTCTTGTTGTTTTAGTTTGCTTTTGTTTTGTTTTTGGAGCGTTCTGTTTGTTTTGTTTTTTCATTGTTTTGTACTTTTTTTGTTTTACTATGTTATTTCTGTCTTGTTTTTCATTGCTTTGTTTTGCTTGTGCATTTTAGTTTTTAAATTCTGAAGTATATAGTTATTAATTTAAAGTTTGGTTTTTATTCTTGTTTTAGTTTTACCCTTTTTGTTTTTGTGTTGTCTTAGTTTTGTTTTTTCATTGTTTTACTAAGCTGTTTTTAGTTTGTTTCACTGCTTTGTTTGTTTTGCTTTTTTCAATTCTGAAATGTATATTTATTCAAGTTAGTTTGTTTGTTTTATTCTTGTTGTTTTAGTTTTTGCTTTTGTTTGCCTTTTGTTTTTCTTTTCTTAATTTTGCTTTATGCTTTGTTTTTGCTTTTGCATTTGTTTTTCATGTCTAAAATAAAAGAAAATGTTTATTGATAACAGATTTTCTTTTTTCTTTGAACTAATTCTACAGCTACTGCAATCAAGTGCTCAGCAAAGATGTAGATGAGTGTGTGAGCAACTTACTGAAGGAGCTGGTGAGGTTTCAAGATCGTCTCTATCAGAAAGACCCCATGAAGGCCAGGATGAAGCGCAGGCTAGTCATGGGCCTACGAGAGGTGCTAAAACACCTCAAACTCAAGAAGGTCAAGTGTGTCATCATCTCGCCCAACTGTGAACGCATTCAATCAAAAGGTGGAGTGAAATTACAGCACCAAACTTGCATTGAGATTTGTGTCACATCTGTAGTTGTTGCTGATGAATGTGCTGCTCTTTGATTCTTAGGTGGTCTAGATGAGGCTCTTCACAATATCATCGACACGTGTCGTGATCAGAGCGTCCCGTTTGTGTTTGCCTTGTCGAGAAAGGCACTGGGCCGATGTGTTAATAAAGCCGTCCCGGTCAGCTTGGTTGGCATCTTTAACTATGATGGCGCACAGGTAAAACCAGAAGTTCTTGTTGTAGTTGCGATATTCAATAATAAGCTCTTATATATGAATTATTTTTAAATGAAGAAATAAATTTTCCTTTTATTGCTAACCCTGCTTGCCATATGAAACAAAGGCTAGATTTACAATGCAGATCTTGATGGTCAGTTCTGTTTTTATCATCTGATTTATTATTGTATGTGTTTTTTTTTTCTGACATATCGGATTCGTATCGAATAAATTTACACATATGAACGAGGCCTAAGTCTCAGCTTTCAAATTTTCAAAGTTTTATTTTAGCGGCAACTTCCCAGTATCCCTCATCAAGCCAATATGGCTTGACGGTACCTGCAGTTCGTCTGCTGGCCACTAGAGGCTGGCTCCAAAAGGCAGTTGGTCCCATAGACTCCCGTGTTAAAATTCCAAACTTTACAGCAAAAATAGTGTTTACATCCTGATGATTGTTGTGTATGTATATTTATATATAATTTTTTTTTTGCTGTTTGTTTAGTTTTTCTAGTTTTCTTTAGTTGCCTTTTTTTTGCTTTGCTTTTTTTTCTTTTTTTTAAAGTTAGTTTTGATTTTCTTTGTTGTAGTTTTTTATCTTTTGTAAAACATAGGTGTGAATTTATTTAGCTTTTGTTTTTTGTGTGTTGTCATTAGCTGTGCTTCCATTCAAAGATGCAAATTAAATTTATGTGCAAAGCTGGAATATCACATAAAAGACGTGGGAATAAAGCAGAGTTTTCATTCCATGAGTCAAAGAGAACAAAATTGTCACTTCCTGATTAACTGGCGCCAAATATCAACAGTGAAAACTGAATATTCAATAATAAGCTCTTATATATGAACTATTTTTAAGTGAAAAAATAAATTGCTAACCCTGCTTGCCATATGAAACAAAGGCTAGATTTACAATGCAGATCTTAACGGTCAATTCCGGTTTAATTACTGTATCTGTTTTTTTCTGACAAATTTGATTCGTATCGAATAAATTTACACATATGAACGAGGCCAAAGTCTCAGCTTTCAAATTTTGTAAGTTTTAATCTAGCAGCAACCTCCCAGTATCCCTCGTCAAGCCAATATGGGAGTAACTAAAACCGCAATTCATATGCAGGCCACTAGAGGCTGGCTCCAAAAGGCAGTTGATTCCGTAGATTCCCATGTTAAAATTCCAAACTCTACAGCAAAAATAAAGTGTTTACATCCTGGTGCAAATAATTGTTTTGGTCTTTTTATGATTTTCAAAGTTTGACTCTGACTAGTAAGTCTAAATAAAGACTTTATAACAAAGTCTAAAGACTGCTAAATCGCCAGTGTGAGACTGGTTTAATGGTATAGTAATTTCTGTGATCATTTACTCACCATTAAGTGGTTCCAAACCTATTTCAGTGTCTTTTGTTTTGTGTGGTAGGTGGCACCCATTGACTTCTATAATATTTTTTAGTTTTTACTATAAAAGTCAATGGCTGCCAGCAACCAGCATTCTTCAAAATATCTTATTTTGTATTCAACAGAAGAAAGAAACTAATAAGGTTTAAAACCACATGAGGTAGAGTATATGATGGGGTCATTTTCTTTTTTGAATGCTCAATCTTGATATTTAACCAATTTAGTACATGTTGTTGTTTTTTTTTCATGGCCACAGGACCACTATCACAAAATGATCGAGTTGTCAGCCGAGGCCAGGAAGTCCTATGAGGTGATGATTGCAAATCTGGATGGCGATTCGCAGGAGGATCTACAGGAAGATCAACAGGAGGAAGAGCCGCCGGGAGAAACTTCTGGAACAGAAGAGCCAGAGTACAGTACGTCCTATAAAGAGCTCAAAATAGCACAAATCCATTGCTTTTACACACAATAAAGTATTTTTATTATCCTCTTAGTTAACAATTATGTTCAACTGCTTCGTTAACTGTTAAATGTGTAACTTATTTGTTGTGTTTGGCTATGAATAGGCTCAGGCTTTTTTATGAAATTGCATCAGTGTTTGAAGATAGGTGTAACCAAAGTGTTTTATTTTCAGCAAGGCTCAGCTCTTAGTGGAGAATATCTTTAGCAAAGGCCATTTTCTGCCTCTTTGTCTTTCAACAACACTAAATTATGATATTTTTGCTATATTATTGTGTATTGGCAAGTCAAAAATAGTGTTAAATTACATTATGATAGCAGTTTTTCTTCAGCACAATTCACATCGGTTCACATTTGATTAACAGAAAACAGAATATATATATATATATATATATATATATATATATATATATATGTATATATATATGTATATGTGTTTGTGTGTTTGTGTGTGTGTGTGTGTGTGTGCGCGCGCGTGTGCGTGTGCGTGTGTGTGTATATATATATATATATATATATATATATGTGTGTGTGCGTGCGTGTATGTGTGTGTGTGTATATATATATATATATATATATATATATATATATATTTATGTTTGTATGTATGTATGTATGTATGTATATGTATATATGTAAATATAGAAATACATTTCAGAAATAGATTTTAGAGCTCGTCACTGCTCAATATATAAACATGATAAATGAAAATGACTAAAAAAGTAACATTTTAGTAAGATTACATCAAGTGTTGGCGATTGTACTCAATACACAACCTAAAACTTAATTTAAAAATGACTAAAAACTTAGTACTTGCTTAACTTTAACTTAGCATTAAAGTGGAAGCGAAAATCAGTGAATTAAGTCAGATCAATCTATCACAATGGACCACCTTTGGTTATTGTATATTACAGATGCACTAATTTGCATTGAACTGCAAGTGCTCACATCATGATTAAGGTAGATAAAGGTGACAGCCAAATAAATGAAGTGACATTTATAAGTTACAAATATCACAAAACATGTAATAAAACAACATATTCTAAAATGTAATCCTTCATTTTAGATTAAAATATTCTTAAATATAATGGGACATGATTAGAGTTATAAAACAGAAAATGTAACATTTTATCACAAGAATAAATTGCATTTAAAAAATTTTTAACCTACAAAATGATCACAGTATTAATGTTGTTTTTTTATTAATATATTCTTATTCATATTTTTATTGTTATTTATTTTATTATTTTAAGTAATCATTTTTTCAATGTACACTACCTGACAAACCTCTTATCCAAGTTTTAGGAACAACAAATAATAACTTGACTTCTAGTTGATCATTTGGTATCAGAAGTGGCTTATATGAAAGGCAAAGGCCTCTAGATTACGCATAATCTTTGATGTGGAGGCTGAAGTATGAGGAGGAGCGCTATATCCTGCTGAAGAATTTGCCGTCTCTTGTAGTTTGTAATGTAATGGGCAGCACAAATGTCTTGACACCTCAGGCTGTTGATGTTGCCATCCACTCCGCAGATCTCTCACACACCCCCATACTGAATGTAACCCCAAACCATGATTTTTCCTTCACCAAACTTGACTGATTTCTGTGAGAATCTTGAGTCCATGCGGGTTACAGTAGGTCTTCTGCAGTATTTGTGATGATTGGGATGCAGTTCAACATAACTACATTCTGCCAATTAGAAGTCAAGTTATTATTTGTTACTCTTACAACTGCGATCGACAATATGACTTTTGTCAGGTAGTGTAGATTGATTAAAAATAAATGGAGTGGATAAGGGACGCTTAAAAAAAAAAGTGTTGTCTAAGATGCATTTGATTGGTATTTTTGTTAATTGAAAAAGTGGGCAGAGTTATCAGATCATAATCACAAAATAGCCAATTATTGATCGATTTGATTGATTGATCCGTCAGATTTGTTTATTAAAGGAGTTTAAATGAATCTTTAAACTGCTAAATGATTCTTTCCACATATTTATTTTCTGTTTCATGTCATTTCATAGTTAAAATCTGGAAGAAAATGCTGGAGAAAGGTTACAGCCACCCTTTCCTGAATTTCGAGGACCAGTTTTCATCCCTTTCCATCGGTTCAGAGCAGCTTCTGGACGATGAAGGAAGTTGATGCAAGTACACAGATTGAGACAGAGCGTCTGTTTGTTCGTTTGTGACACGGAAGCACATTCCCACAGTGTTTGCAAGCCGGCATGAGCCTCTAGCACTTTGAAAAGATGTGTCAGGAATAGCTTGAAGTACCAAAATGTGCCTGTCAAGAGCGTTTTATTCATAAACAAATGTTCCAGTGATGTGGAATGGTGTGTTAAATCAAGAGGCAATACAGCTGAAAATAGAGAGCAGCCCTTGACTACAAATATTTTCTTATAAATATATATCATGAACTTCGTTTAATGTTTCCATAGTCCGAATGGTGAATATTTTTGCAAGATAGCTGATATCCCTCTATTTCTAATAAAGGAAGTGAAATAGTTTGATAACAATCATTGAAATAATCGGAACCACTTAATTTATGCACACGTTTACATTTGTGAATACGATGTATCCTGCAAAAAATGATTTTCCCCTGAGTTTTTGTTTTGTTTCCAGTCCAAATATCTACACATTCTTAAAGAAAGACTCAATTTTTGGGGAAAATGGGCTCCTTTTGCAAGTCCCCTAGAGTTATACAGCTGAGTATTACCATTTTTGAATCCATTCAGCTGAATTTTGGATCCGGCGGGAACACATTTAGCTTAGCTTAGCATAAATCATACAATCGGATTAGACCATTAGCACTCTATTCTGTGAAATAATCAAGCAATTTTGCTTTTGTACTATGGCCACCACAGACGAAATTATATTTGCGCAGCTCTGTCATCTAGTCGCTTAGCTGGGAACTATTTTTAGGTGCTGCGTAATATCATTGAATCTGCTGCAACCATGATACGGCGGCAAAGATCCTTGATTATTATGCTGGAATAAAAATATAGTTTAAACAACAGCAAGTAAAATGTAAAAAACAGCAACTTTTCATTTTTAGTCTCTCTTACTAAATGATGTAACTACAGAAGAGTCAAGCATTTAATAATATTTGTGTCCCCTAGAGTTAAACAGTTGAGTTTTACCATCTTTGAATCCATTCAGCTGATCTCTGGATCCGGCAGGAGCACTTTTAGCTTAGCTTAGCATAAATAATTGAATCAGATTAGACCATTAGCACTCTCATTTCTGCGAAAAACAGTCAAGGAATTTTGCTAGCATACCATGGCTGCCACAGATGCAATGATACTCAGTGCTGTTATCTAGTTACCTAGCTGGGAACTATTTTCAGGTACTGCGAAATATTATTGCGCCTGCTGCAGCCATGGTACATAAGCAAAGTTCCCTGATTATTGCGCTGGAATAAATGTACAGTTCCTAGCCATATTGGACTAGCAAAATAGCAACTTTTCATTTTTGGTCTCTCTTACTGAATGATGTAACTACAGAGGAGTCAAGCATTTAATTAATTGAGAAGGATGCTAATGGTCTAATCTGATTTAATGGCCTATGCTAAGCTAAGCTAAAAGTGCTCCCGCCAGACCCAGTAATCGGCTGAATGGATTAAAAAATGGTAAAACTCAAATATGTGACTTTACATTATATTAAATTTGCCTATTTTCAAAATAATTACAGTTTCTTTAAATTAAGAAGCATTAAAAATATTGTTTTAGCTTAGCATAAATCATTGAATTGGATTAGACCATTAGCACTCTCAATTCTGCGAAATAATCAAGGAATTTTGCTGGCATACCATGGCTGCCACAGACGCAATGATATTACGCAGCGCTGTTATCTAGTTATCTAGCTGGGAACTATTTTCAGGTGCTGCGTAATATCATTGAGGTAAAGATCCTTGATTATTACGCTGAAGTAAAAGTATAGTTCCTAACCATATCAGACCAAAAAATAGCAACTTTTCATTTTCGGTCTCTCTTACTGCGTCATGTAACTACAGAAGAGTCAAACATTTTATTTTTATTATAAAATTTAATTGAGTAGGATGCTAATGGTCTAATCCGATTCAATGGACTATGCTTAGCTAAGCTAAAAGTGCTCCCCCCAGACCCAATAATCAGCTGAATGAGTTAAAAAATGGTAAAACTCAAATATTTGACTTTAAATTTTATTAAATTAGCCTATTTCCAAAATATTTAGCGTTTCTTTAAATCAAGAAGCATGAAAATATTGTTTTAGTTTTTAAAACAAGTTAAATAAATTACTGTTGGGGTAAATAAAGTATGTTTTCACTTTAAAATAAGATTATTTACCCCAGTGGCAGATAATTCAGCTGTAAATCACTCAAGAACATGCTTTTAATTTCAAGAATATGTCGATATTTTGATTAAAAACCAGACAAAAACTCGAAAGTCATTATTTTGCAGTGTATCCTGTCCAGTGCACAATTATACTGATCATAACCACTGTGTTCGCTAATTATCGGCAGGGTGTCTTTTAGTTCTGAATGATGATTATTATTATTAATATGACCGTGAGGTGTTTGTAGGAAAACCTCACCCTTCTAGAACTTATTAAACATCACTTGCGTACATCACAGTCCTCACTTTTTAATTTCTAACTCAGTTCCTCAACACTAGCTCATCCATTAATACAGAGTCCTTGAGCTGCTTCTCCCTCAGTCTCTTAGTCCGCTCTGTGTTTGTTTTTCGTTATTACTATGGATTGTCATTAATAGGGGATGTGCGAGTTGTGTAGTACTCCGTGGTCCATGGTATTTACATGTAGCATAGAGCTCACAATTCAACTTAGCAGTAACAAATCATTTTTAACTTCTGTAAATTTCAGAATGTTGACTTGGGACCAAAACCAACTTTGTGATTGTGAAGGTTTTCGAGTTTTCTTTAGTATTTGCAATAAATTCATTGCAATAAGTGACCCTGTTGTGTCCAAATTGCCCTTGCATTCATTGCGTTTCGCCTTCTGGGGTGCAAGTAATTTATTATATAAGAGGCCCACAGTAGCTTCTTGTTTTGTATTTCGACATTTAGAAGCAGTTTATCAGGAAGTGACCATTTCATTCTCCTTCACTCATTGGTTCTAAACGGTGCTTTCATTTGCAATTTTTTCATGTGATATTTCAGTTTTGCTCATGAATCTAATTCACATTTTTGGATGGAAACATAGCTATTGACTAACATAGTATTATTTCGTTTTTTCTATGGATATCAATGGCTGCTTTTTTTCAACATTCTTCAAAATATCTTCTTTTAGGTGTTTGACAGATGAAAGAAATCCAAAAATGTGTATAAATCACTTGTGAATTGCTGTAATTCAGCCACATTAGAGAGTTTTCGAGCATGAACTGCATTTTTAAGGTCATGCAACTGCATCTCCATTTGATTCAGGTCAGGACTTTGACTAGGCCACTCCAAAGTCTTCTTTGGTTTTTAGCTGTTCAGAAGTGCACTTTCTGGTGTGTTTTGGATCATTGAACTTCTCAACACACATGCTTTACTTTTATTTTATTAGCCATCATAAACTTTTTTGTGTAAATGTTTTGATGCAGTAATTACCTTTCACTTGGGGAAAGCCAGCAACAACTGCAATCAAGGGTTTTTGATCACTTAAAATGAATCAGTTACAGTGCTGTGAAGACATTTTGGCCTACTCATCTTAGCAGAATTGCTGTAATTTAGCCACATTAGCGAGTTTTCGAGCATGAAACGCATTTTTAAAGTCATGCCACAGCATCTCAATTGGATTCAGGTCAGGAGCTTGACTAGGCCACTCCAAAGTCTTCATTTTGTTTCTCTTCAGCTGTTCAGAAGTGGACTTGCTGGTGTGCTTTGGATCAGTGATTGGTTAACTTCTCAACACACATGCTTTACTTTTATTTTATTAGTCATTATGAACTTTTTTTGTGTAAATGTTTGGTGTAGTAATTATCTTTCAGTTGGGGAAAGCCAGCAACAACTGCAATCAAGGCTTTTTGATCACTTAAAATAAATCCGTTACAGCGCTGTAACAATTTTGGCCTACTCATCTTTGCGGAATTGCTGTAATTCAGCCACATTAGAGAGTTTTCGAGCATGAACGGCATTTTTAAGGTCATGCCACAGCATCTCAATTGGATTCAGGTCAGGAACTTGACTAGGCCACTCCAAAGTCTTCCTTTTGTTTTTCCTTCAGCTGTTCAGAAGTGCACTTTCTGTTGTGCTTTGGATCATTGAACTTTTATTTTATTAGTCATTATGAACTTTTTTGTTTAAATGTTTTGCTGTAGTAATTAACTTTCAGCTGAGGAAAGCCAGCAACTACTGCAATCAAGGGTTTTTGATCACTTAAAAGGGGGTCAGTTACAGTGCTGTGAAGACATTTTGGCCCTCTCATCTTTGCAGAATTGCTATAATTTAGCTACTTTGGAGAGTTTTCGAGCATGTACTGCCCTATTAAGGTCATGCCACAGCATCTTAATTGGATTCAGGTCAGGACTTTGACTAGGCCACTCCAAAGTCTTCCTTTTGTTTCTCTTCAACTGTTCAGAAGAGCACTTTCTGGTGTGCTTTGCATCATTAATTGGTGAACTTCTCAACATGTGCTTTTTATTTTATTAGTCATTATAAACTTTTTTTTGTGTAAACGTTTTAGTGTGTTAATTAACTTTCAGTTGGGGCTAGCCAGCAACAACTGCAATTAAGGGTTTTTGCTAACCTAAAATGAGTCAGTTACAGCTCTGTGAAGGAATTTGGCCCGCTCATCTTTGCAGAATTGCTGTAATTCAGCCCCATTGGAGAGTTTTGAACTGCATTTTAAGGTCATGCCACAGCATCTCAATTGGATTCAGATCAGGACTTTGACTAGGCCAATTCAAAAATCTTCATTTTGTTTCTCTTCAGCTGTTCAGCAAATGTGCAACAAATGTGCTTTAATTTTATTTTATTAGTCATTATAAACTTTTTTATTAGTGTAAACGTTTTAGTTTCACTTTGAGTTTCAGTGAGCCAAAGTAGTAAAGATTTGGAACAAATGTGGCAATCAATACCAGATAAAATGTACCAATTCCACACACACTAACACACACACAAATTTGACTTTGGTTACAAATTAATGCTTTTTTATAGGCTATATTGAGAATATAATTTTATTTTTAACTGATTTGATAGTCACACACACACATACACACTCATAAGTGCTCAAAAGTTTTGTCCAACAATTTATTTGTGTTGTGTATAAAATGTTCCTCTTTATTGTGATAGAACGTTTTATTTTAGCCTTAGACAACATATTAAAGTGTTGTTGAAATATTATGTTCAAATTAAAAACCCATTTCCAACTTTTTAGCAATTGTTTTTGAACCTTCTGTGAAAACTCATACAGCAAATGAATGTGAAGAACTCCAGTGCACTCTTTATTTTATTTATTTTTTACACTGCAGCATTAAACATCTTTATCATCACAATCACATTAAAAACAAGATAAGCCATGGTACTTC